TCTGCAGAAGCTGCGGTTCATGAGACCAAACTTTTCTATGGATGTCAGTTTTCTTTCTAAGTGTGACCAGCAACAGACTAGTTGTTTTAAGCCCAGTTCAAACCAAAGATTGGCGACGAGACAAAACCATTTTAGAGCATTGCAGAGAAAAGTTGCAGTGGTGTGAACTGGCCGGTCTGAGCTCAACTCAAGCCAGCTAATGGTGTCACCTGCAACTCAGCTGGTCAAATCGCCAGCGGCTTATTTTAGAATATAAAGCACATCACCTGTTTCAGCAGCCAATCGCATTGTAGTGAAGTCTGCTGGTCAAGCCCAAATGACCGCAGACGGCATGATTACTTGCTGCGGCAGGTGCTCTGTCCCCGCCGAGCCCTTTGTTACCATCCGTGGGTTGCTGCTGCTGCTGCTGCTCGCTGTATATGCTTATGCTCCCCAACACACACACACACACACACACACACACACACACACACACACACATTCTCACTGACTCATTAATTGGTGCTGGTTATTTATATTATTGTGACATAATTATTATGAATGCAGTCCTTCTTATGCTTGTTTTGTTTATGTTTTCATTGTTTCATCACTACTACAAATGCAACTATAGCCAGTATCTCACTATCACTATCCTCATTCATATTCTAAGAAGCTACAAATTATAGTTAACCACAACTCTGAAAAGCTAGAAATCAGAGCAGAAGTGCAGGGACTTGTTGCATAGAGATGATACTCCCTCTCATCTAGTTGCATTAGTGTGAACGGGCAGGTTTATGGAATGTTGCAGAATGGGGCATTGCAAGTAGTTGCCTGTTCTCGTCAACTTGTCTCGTCACGAATCTTTGGTCTAAACTGGGCTTTAAGCCTCACCAGTAGCCAGAAATGCCTTCTGCTCTATGCTTTTGCCACACGGTTTTGTGAAGGACTTGAGGCCCCTACCTGTCGTGATCGTGGGTTTGACTTCCTGTCTTTGTGTGTTTCCCGCCTGTTTTCTGTCACACCTGTCTTGTTTGTCTTTCCCTGTTCCCAGAGTCTTCCCTTCACACTTGTTTTGTATTAGTCTTGTTTGCTCCACCCTAGCATTCCCCTTCACACCCTTGTTGTTAGCCGATCTCCATTTCCCTCCTTTTGCCCATGTCTTTCTAATCCAGCTGTGTCTTGTTCTTGTGATTAGTTTTCTGTGTATATTTACCTGTGTGTTTCCCTTTGTTCTTTGTCAGTTCATCTGTGGTCATCATTCTTACATTCTTGCCTGTGTTCATCCTGTGTTCATCCCTGCATTATTCCTGTGCTCGTACCTGTGTTCTTGATGTTGTCCATGCTGCGTATCCTGCCTAATATCTTGTGTTTGGATTTTTTTAACCTGAGATCCTCGCATTTTTCCCAGTTGGTTTTCAGTTTATTTTTGCTCTACTTTCATTTGGACTTTCAGTAACCTGCTGTATCTGGATGTTTTTTATCGGCTGTATTAAAGCTCACTTATTGTTAAAACCTCAACCGGCCCGTTAGTCTGCATTTGGGTTCTCCTTGAACTGACACGTGACACTACCTAGTGTTTAGAGGTTTAGCAGAAGTGAGGGTCAGCGATGATGGTATAAAATGGTCAATAAAACAGGTTTTTCAACAATTGTAAATCACCGTAACCATGAGAGGTTCTCGAGCATACAGTCATTAATGTGCACACAAAATATAAGGCTAATTGGCCCAGTAGTGTGTGAGATTATCTGTGGAAAGACCATACACACACGCGCGCGTGCAAACACACGATCAAACGCATGATCCCGTCTATGATTAAGCCTGGAAGAAGTAATAACATAGAATTTTAGCATGTACATTATTAATTAAACAATAAAACATGATCACAAAGGGTCCGGGTGGAAATGTTAGTTGGGAAGTAGCCGTGGGAAAATACAAGTAATAATTGCATTGGGGGTTTTGTATGATTTTTCTTTCTTTGTTTATAGAATAGGAAGAAACCCAGATTAATGTTTAATTATTTTGATGTATCCATGAAAAGAAACAAGACGGCTATTAACAAATGTCTGCCATTTGCAAGTTGCACACAGTGCAAAGCTTGAACATGTGATCATGAGTTAAATGTATCACCTGTTGTACATCTTTTAAGCTTTATCCTGCACTTTGTAATTACTGTGGTTAAAACTGAGGAAAAGGTATTGTGGTTGAATCTTGCTGAATGTCTGAATTTTACTCTCAAAGCTATCTGCACCATCTGTGTTGTAAGCCCATAGTCATGCTGCTTTGGGTACCTCTGTAGCAGCTCCTATTCACACAATCAGCTGAATTTATTCTGATACTGAAGAAAAAGTCTAAATTTGCCCCCTCACTGGAGTGCAATCTTGTGTTTTTATTTTCCTGTAGTTAAATGTGCCTCACTCTCACTTAATCAGGCATGTTGATTAAGTCTCTAATTTGAAGCGGTGGAAAGGAGGAGTAGATGGAGTGGGTGGGTGGGTGTGCGTGTGTGTGCGTGTGTGTGCGTGTGTGTGTGTGTGTGTTGTACATAATATCAGTCAGTCACTGCAGAGGATTACAGTGTCTTCAGAGAACATTTCTGTTTTACATTACTTCATTAGGCTCCCTTTGATAACCTTTCATTTCATATTATTAGTTTTCATTTAATCCCGGCCCCTGTCTAAGCTGCTGTTTGCAATGTACTGCATGACGGCAGAAGCCTGTGGAGAGACAACTCCACTACAAGTGTAGGGCTGCGTAATTAAGCAATAAGCCACAAGAGGCCGAGCTTTACAGTGATTTTTGAACAGCTGCTGTGAGATGTGTTGTCAGGCACGACTTGTTAGCTGTACTTGAAATCAGTGTAAAGTACACTTTTTATTGATTTACTGCCATCAAAAAATAGGGTTCTAAAATTAGTAGATTTAAATCCATCTCTATATATTTTCATTGTTAGTGCCGGAGTCCACCATCCCCACTCGAGATTCCAATTACCTACCTACACAAAAGGGATTCACAGGAAAGTATGCAGTATGTTATTTCATTAATATCGGCCTCACTGTTAACAGCTGTATCACAGCTTTTGGTTACTTCTAATCCAAACCAAACATGTACTATTACTCCTGCTAGCACATTAAATTATGCATGTATTTGTCAATGAGGTTGTTTATCAGAAATCTACAAAACAAGACAATGTAAATTTGTTTGGCTGCACTGTAAACAGAGACCACTTGCTCCTCTGTTGTTTTTCTGACATTGACATTGACATCAAGAAGAGTTTACTGCAGTACAGTATTTATTAACCGCCAGTGTTGCCAAATCAACCAGGACTTAAAGGTCCAGTATGTAGGATTTAGGGGGATATCTATTGGCACAATTGGAGCATAATATTCATAACTATGTTTTCATTAGTTTAAAATTAGCTTAGACTAAGTATTTATGTGTTTTTGGTACATTTTAATGAGCCGTTCCTTTATACCAACATACGGAGCCGGTCCTCCTCCGCTGAATCCGCCATGTTGTTTCTACAATAGCCCAGAACAGACAAACCAAACACTGGCTCTGTAGGGACATTTGAGTTTTCGCGTCAGCCAGTGTAGTTCTCCTACACACTTGGCACACGGGACAAGTTTCAGTTAGTTGCAATCTGTAACCTCACCGCTAGATGCCACTAAATGCTTCACACTAGCACTTTATATCTTAAGAACTATAACTTAAACTAACTCTCCTTTAGCCAGGACATATAATTAGGTAATAACATTTCTTGGTTCCAGTGTATTTAATATAAAACACATACAGAAAGAGTTGTGCATTTTTACCAACAATTTTTCTGAGCAAAACTGAGGATATAATCTGTGAGTTTTACTCTAAAGCACATTCCTCTGTTTTAACAAAGAATAAACAAAACAGGCCTGGCAGTAATCAGCAGTGAATACAGTGAAGTTCATCACTGCTCATATTTGCCATTTAACCAGCACCACCTCCACCCCAGAATCTGCCCATAGGCTTTAATTCTAGTTTTCTTTGAGGGGGATGGGTATTTGTTACTGTACCTCTCCATTTCCTCCCTGTGCATGTGCATTCCTAATTGTATACTGTTGGAAATGACGAGGTCGGAGTCTAGACACCTAACATTAGCTGTTCATAACTCTGTATTCATATATTAATAAATCTATTCAAGTTGGCTGACTGAGGTTTCAGGACATCACATATGTTGGTTGAAAGCTGCAATTTCCTAGATGCCCAATAAAGCCACCCTATTATGCATTAATGGTCCGAGCCTGTCATCTTTTGTTCATAGTCTGGCATAATTGAAATAGCAGGCTTTTAAATTCCCATCAGTTGTCTCCAAAAATGTTTGTCTCACGCCTAGCTCATTATGAGCTGCATCCCAGACAATATACAGATATTAACGAAGGACCTGTGTGACATTAAGTCAAAGTTCTGCTGCAGAAAAAGATGATTTGATTGCCACAGAAAGTATCGGTGTTCAGATGAAGCATTTAATTGCATTGTTTTGCTCCTCTTTTCTACCTTAAATTATAGCCCCTTCAAATGTTTTCAAAGAAAAAATGAGTGCTCACACTCTCCCTTAAACAATAACAAGCTGGTGTGTTCCTCCTCTCAGTTAAAACCCGCCACTGGAAAGCATTTAGTGTCACTTGTGTATAAATGGATTATGTTTTCCAGATACTATAAAAGTGGATATGAGGGCACACTACCAATGTTTTGCATTGCTGGCTTTCTGTCTGCTGAAACTGAAATTTTAACAAGGGTTTGTCAAAAGACCAGTAATGATATAGATATCAATATTCACAATCTCTATGAATTTGAAATTGATTTGGTTTAAGTAATGTTCTCTCCTCCTCCTCCTCCTTCTGGCAAATGGTAGATCTGTTTACTGCTGATAATCTTATCATATTCAAATCTCCCTCATCAACCTGTCCCTGCAAATCTTCATCTCTCTTATTGATCACCCATGTGAGATAATGAAAGCCAATCTAAGCAATCAACCGTCTTGTCTGCAGGGCTAAAGATCCGCGAGGTGATGATCAACGTGTCACGTCAGCAGGTGGAGGACTTCCATGGCCCGGAGGATTACTGGTGTCTGTGTGTCGCCTGGAGCCACCTGGGAACCTCCAAGAGCCGCAAGGCAACTGTCCGGATCGCCTGTAAGCAACATGTCACTTTGAACTTGACTGACCTTATTGTCCCTGAAAAGGTTATTCCTCAAACTGGTGGCATGATGTTGTAGAAGCCGTCATTCTTTTCCGTGTTCATGTATGTGAGCAGAAGAAGGTCACACATGTACAAATTACCCCTCACGTTGTTGTAGTTGTTCTTTAATACAGGTTGTTTATTCTCTTCCCTAGACCTGAGGAAGAACTTTGAGCAGGACCCCCAAGGCACCGAGGTGCCTCTGAATGGCATGATTGTGTTGCACTGTCGTCCCCCAGAGGGAGTGCCTGTGGCTGAGGTGAGGGCTTCTTGCACTTCAAACAACCAACATTTTCTCCTGTGTTGCCTGGAGAGGAGCAGTCATCCGTCTGGTTTACTTGCAGTGTAACTCTATATTCATGATACAATGTTTTGTTACTCTCCAGCCACAGACACATATGCGCTTTTTCCTTCAGTTTAGTATGAGCCAGAGCTGCAGTTGATGAGCTGAAGCTGCCGTTTGTTTAGTTTCTCAGGCTCACTCTGTTCAAGGCAGAGAGATCATTTCACATACTGGGAGTAATATCTATCCATGTGCATCGCTGTGTTCTCTGGTAAAAGGCTGTACGGCTATAACTTATTTAGATGTCATGTATTCATTTCACTCTCACTATCATTCCCTCTCCCCCTCCTTGGCGTGTTTGTGTGTGTGTGTTAGTGTGTGTGTGCCTGAAAGAGAGAGCCTGCCGTTTCCATTTTAATTTTCACTATGAATATGAAATGAGGCTCTTGCGGACAGTCCTGTTGAGTGGTGTGTGTTGTGCTGCGCTCTGATGTTGTGCGCCTTCATGTGAAGGCTCAGCAGGCAGATGTGTCAATATCAAAGCCTGTGTGCCCAAGCATCTGAAGCTTTGCATTTACTTAAAGGCACAGTCCACAATCCATACGTAAACAAAGTGACAGCCCTACCAGCACATTTCAAAGCACAGGACTAGAACCCTGCTACTTCTCCCAAATTGACTGACAGGTCTTTTCATCCACTGACTCATAAGTTATGAATCTTTTATGGTGCTAATAGTAAAAGCTTTGTTTACAGTCCGTGATGTTTCTACACAGCAGCAAAACAGTTTATATAACAGTTTATATTCTTAAATATGATCAGCTGAAAATTATTGATGTTTCATCTATAAGATAAACCTTTTAATTACATTCAGCGCAGCCTGATTGATTAGGGCAGTGATCCTTTTTCCTGAGTTTGGCTCTCTTCCAGCACATTGGCTTATGAAACAATGATGAGGTTAAAGAGCTGACTTGCACTTTAAAACCTCAATAACTGATTACAGGGGAAAGTCTACATCACGTTTTCCTGCCATTAATCATAAATTCACACATTGAATAGGTGCATTTCCGCTACTGTATAAGTAACATACATTTTGTGTCTTACTTTGTTTCAAATAGTTTACACTGCAGAATCTATAGTGAGGAAAAATGTGATGCTACAAAGTAAGATGTTTCCATTTTTAGTTATTTGTATTCTGACAAAATGACTGAAAAAGGTTTAAGAAACAAACCACAGGGTCATGTCAGACTAACACACTTAAAGGTTGACTGTCCAACTGAGTATGCAAAAATTGAACAAGCACAAATAAGCCTGCCATGCATACCTGGCAGGTCATTACTGCCAGTGGTGTAGTGGAAGGTATACCCACCTCTTTGTCTCACTGTTTAGAGTATCAGCCAAAAAACCATTGGAATATAGAAAATACTTTGGGAACAAGGTGACAAGCTCATGACAGATTTATTTATATGATCATCTGATCCAGGTATGCTACTGCATGTGTTTACATTATGTAGCTGACGCTGTTACATGCTCATGTCAGGGAAACATTAGGGAAGGGAATCACCAGAGGATCCATGATACGATATTATCATGATATTTTGGTCATGATACAATGTTATTGCAATTTTAAAATATGTTGTGATATAGTGAGTATTATGATAAAATATGATCAAAGTCCCCAAAGGAAAACTTTGTCAACATCTGTTTTATCTAAAACATTTTCAGTCTGTTCATCACACTTCAGCCATTTTTGCAGCAGCAGGAAAATGTATCGAGTGGACTGAAAACGTAATTGATTACATTATTCTAGTAGTTTAATTTGTATTCATCATACTAATAATTTATATAATAAAAAGTTGATATTTGGCACTTTGTGACGATACAATATTGCCACACAAAAATATCGCGATACTATGCTGTATCAATTTTTTTCTCCACCCCTAGGAAACCCCTGGGTAGAAAGTGTTGCGATTCTCATTTACAGTCATTCCCTGGCTTCAATGATGGTGCAGTGACAGCAAGATGCGGAAGACTTGAACGATGACCAGTCAGAGCAGAGTGGGATATTTTGGAATGATGGATTAAAAACACAGGCACTAAAATGGAGCGTCCTCAGACAGAGTGTGAATACAGGTGTTCCAGCACAGACAGTATGAGGAAAATAAGGTGTTTTTTTGAAGATTAAACATGTTCCAGTAGAAACCGTAGTTAGAAGTAGGAGCCTAAAAATGAGAATATTAGGTCCTCTTTTAATTCAAGCTGAAAGTCAACACTTGTTAGTAAACATGTACCTAAAGGATATAGCCCACACATGTCCTCCAGCTGGCTGTTTGTTCTGTATTTTCATGTTAATAAAACGTTGATTGCAAGACAAAAGTAGATAAGGGCTTTAAGACTCCTTAAAGATGACCATGCACTCCTTCCACAGCACACATAGCACACGTAAAACTGGGTTTGTTCCTTCTGTGTGTGTGTGTGTGTGTGTGTGTGTGTGTGTTGGTGTGTGTGTGTGTGGTGTGATGAATGATTCAGCTCTCACAAATGGAGCATCGGTGTACCACGAGTCTCCCCCATGCATTGTGGTCATCAAATAGGCAACGGCTCATGCATTCATTAATGTGACTCTGGCTAACAAAGAGAATGGTAATAGTAAATAATGCAGGGACAAATCCAGCTCCCTCCAGTATGACTTGCTCCGGGAAAAAAATACTCGCATCAAGAGTTGGGGATGTGACTGTACTTCTGGTTTCATGACTTAAGGCATTGCTGAGAGGTTAAAGCCTTTTTTTGTAACCAGCGCTGTGAAATTTGGCTCAGAGAGAAGCTGTAGCTCAGCTACAGTTTGAGTTTAAGGATTTGAGGTCATGGTGCAGTGTGTTCTGTTGAACCCTATGTGTATTCCAAGGCATATTTATTTTGGTCATGACATTCATTTGAATGTTTCATATTCCTGCAATTTGTAACGGATCCTGATGGAAATTAATACTTTAACAGTTGCAGTAATTGCTGAGTTGACCTGATGCAAATGAAATGACTTCCAACTTTGCATGCTGTTTTAAGACATAAACGCTGTACAGCCGACTTTACAGCTTGAAATCCCCTTATGTCGCCGCTCTCTTTGTGTTCTCAGAGGCAACACTAACAGCAAGAGAGAGGGAAGAACTTTATCCGCATCTCGCTGTAACTAAGCCACCCGGGAGTTTACTGGGCTGCTGTGTAGGATGTTAATGAAAATCAGAGAATGCCATATTATCTGTCCCAGCAGTGATAGAGGCAATAATCTGTGCACGCTGTAAGTCCAACCACAGAGAATGTATCATCGTAAAACAGCTTAAGTCCGCTTCAGTTTATTGGTGACAAGAGTCAAGATGGCCAAATCTTTTCACTTGGCTCCACTTTTTATAGACAGGGAGCAGTTTAGAATACAGATTATATGCACTGTGATGTTGAAGTTATTACATTATTGGTTCTGTTTAGGGCATGATAATCACATAATCATTTTTATTAAAGCCAAACTGAAATTAAAATCCCCTTTTGCTAAGAAGTCAATATATACTGGATATGCTCAGTCTTAGTTTTTGGACTTGTGTACTTATTTGGTCAGAATGTAATCGCCAAACAGAAGCCAGAGCCCTGAGGTCACAGGACGACCTGCTGCCGTATTGACACAGTGGTCATTGTTCATCACAACAACTGGACACATGAAAGACCACTGTGGGATATGTGGGAGCTGCCTTAGCGGATGCTGAAATAACAAACAAAGAAGTAGCACCCAGTGCAGCGGTAGGCAGCCTGCAGCTCTGGAGCCACAGAGCTGCAGGCTGCCTACCGCATCATTGTTGTAGGCCTAAAGAAAATCCTACATTCTTTAGTTGTAAAAATGTGTAGCCTACAGAATTAAAAACATTTTGTCAACTACGTCTACGGCCTGGCACCTTTACCTCTAAACGTTGCTCGGGTTATGTGTAAATGAACCTCAGTAGTGTTGGCTAGTCTTGAATCTCTCTATCAAGGCTAGCTACGGACTCCAAATCCAAAAACTTAAAAGTCTCAGAGGAAAATGGAGACATTAATAAAGGGTGGACAGAAAGTCTGACCAAATGTTTATAAATAGCCCACTGCTGACGAGCTACCTTGTGCTAAAACATATGAATGCTCCATTTAGACCTATTAGTAATGTTGATAGGCTATTTTAGACGCAATAGTATTTGTTACCATCATAAGACTCACGTTTTGTGGCTCCAGACCGTTTTTGTTTTTTTGTTTTGGTCAATAATGGCTCTTTTGATTGTAAAGATTGCTGACCCCTGACCTAGTGGGAATCAGTTCTAATGTTAGCAAGTCAGGCTACTTTCAGCATGGAAGCTAATTAGTCATGCTGAGTTTTCTAGGTTCCACTTTCTAAGAGGAATATATACTCATCAGTATGATGGGTCCTTCCAAATGTTGAATGTTTTATAGGGTAGGGCTGTCCCAAATACTTGTGTTGTTTATGTAATTTCTCAAAGCTTCTGTGTTTTATGCATGTTTGTATTCCCAAGGTTCAGTTGAACAAGGTCCTATCTGTGCATTTTTTGTGACATTGTAACAGATTGTGACATTTTTTCTTACTGTGAATGCATTTCTCATATGAGCAAAAATGCTCATAATAGCCTAATATGGTCTAAATCTGAGACAACACCTGAAAAAGCACTGTGCAGTCCACAAACAGCATACCTTCAATAACTTTAAGATTTGAAATTTATGTTTATAATTACTAAGATCCAGTTTTTCTGTTACACACGTTAGATGCAGCACTGGAGGTGTGTCTCCAGACAAACTCACATCGATACTAACAGCTTGGCAGCAGTTAAACCCGTTAGTAACCATTAGATAACATTAGCTGTGTGATACTAACAGTTGGCCCCGTCACTGTGTGACAGTGACATAAGATTTTACCCATTTTAAATAGTGTTTTTTTTAAAAAAGACAATATGTGG